TCACAAACTTTTGCTAGAACAACGCAGTCTTTTTTTATGAAGGAATAAGAGCAAGGGACACCTGGGCAATGCTCCATACAATCCATTATTTTAGATCTGAAGTACCAACACAGTGATCCATTCTGAACAGGTTTCAGTGTGCGGTCAATGCTTTTAATATGCTGTGGAGTATGTTCTTATGTATATACATATGCTTTATAACCTCTTTTTAGACATATAAGAACATTTATATGGCTTTTTACACTGAGCTTATCCCGGTGTTATTGTCATTCTGAACACCATTTTTAAACTAGGGATTAAGTGACTTCCACACTTGCCATTTAAAATGATTTTCTGCTAAATTTATGTTATGACTAGATGTTTAGGAATCAATGCAGTCCGTGCTTCTTATTCACATGCACTCTCAGAGAAGCGCTGGGTGTTAAAAACAGTTTTTTCAGTGTTTGGAAGGAAAATAGTGATGGAAAATGTAACAATTGGAGTTAAGACAGTGTTTTATTCTTCCCCTAAATATGTGGAAAGTTTGTTTAGGAACAAAAATCAATCAGTAGCAGTCAGCAGTATGTAATTTGAAGAAGTGTTGCAAATAAAGATGCTAGCTCATGGGTTTGGGATTTACAAGGCTGAAGAAAAACAGGATTTATAATGACCCAGAGTTAACTACTTCAAGTGTGAAAAACTTTTGTGTATTGTAGGGTTAAAAAGGTGCAATACACTCAACTGTGTGCTGTTCTAAAGCTGAAAACCCTTTATTTTTAGTCCATGTAGTTTACTCTGGACAAAATGCACACATTTGCACCCCATTGACATAAAATAACTTATTTTGTATTACACACAGTCACAAGATATGAAGTTAAGTGGTTAAAGATATAAGCTACATTTTTGATGAATTATCCCTTTAAATGGCACGGGGAATGAGTTGGTAAAAGCATTTATTTTACACTGTAAAAATTGGTAAAAATACACTACAGTAAAAATGAACAGTGAATAAACGTAAATGAACTTTTCATCAATTACCTTCATGATATTTAAATTTTAATGTTTTTTTTAACAATACTATTTTTTTCTCATCTGCTTTATTCAGTAAGGTTTTATGTTACATCTGATGTTATATTAAAATACTTAATGTCAAGTTTAGTATCATAATGGTATTCAATATGTGAATGACAGTGAGCACCTTCTATTAGTATTTGTCTATGCTTGCGGATATGCTGTTGACCAGCTGATCTGCTTGTGGTTGTGTTTTTATTTTGTCTGTGTAACCAAAGTATAATGGGTTGATGCTACGTCAACACTGTATAAAGTGAAACCAATAAAATACGGTAATTTTCTGTAAATTTTAAAATTAATCTTATGTTTAGACCATATTTAAATAAAAAAATTCTGACAATACTATTTTTTCTCATCTGCTTTGTTCATTAGAGTGTGATGCTACATCTAATGTTTTATTCAAATTCTTAATGTCAAGTTTATTATCTTATTATGGTGTTCAATATGTGAATGACATTTAGCACCCTATATTAGTATTTTTCTATGCTTGCTGATATGCTGTTGACCACCATCTGCTTTTGGTGGCTTTTTTTTCTTTGTGACCAAAGTACAATGGGTAGACGTTTAACGCTGTATGAATTGAAAACCAATGATATACGGTAATTTACTGTAAATTTTCTAATCAGTTTTACATTTAGGCCATATTTTAATACAAAAAGTCTAGCAACAAAACTGCTTTTTTGTTTTACGGATTATTTTAATGATGTTGATGCTCTTTTTCTACTGTAAAAACTGATTAGTTGACTTTACTTTAAAAAGCAACTAAGCTCATAGTTTTTACAGCAGTTATTTTACTTACAAAAGTGAGTAAACCTGTCTTTAAAGTGATTAGTTGACTCTACTCAGAGTAAACCAATTGCTTTGAAATTATTAAGTGGAACTTTATAATGATTACACACAATGAATAATCTATTAAGCATTATCAAATAGTGTATTTATTATCTGTTAAGCATTAATTTTACATTAATAGACATTACTAAGCAGATACAAATGCTGTTTTTTTGACTTATGAGCACATAAATAATGTGCTTAATGATTGTATTTTCATACTTTGTTAATTAGTATTTCTCATTAATAAATTAGGTATAAATTATTTAAAAACCAGTTATTTAAGAGAATCTGCTGGTTTTTAAAGATTATTCAGAAGTAAATGATTAATAAACTATTAAAATTACATTTATAATTCTTATCATTCAGGCATATATTATGGCTCGTTTCCTCTGACTAGTACAGTACGGTACTGTTCGGGTCGGTACGGGTCACCTTTATCAGACTTGCGTTTCGACTGCCAATGGTACCCTTTTGGTGGGCGTGGTGTATAACAGAGAGTTTCAGTCGACTTCATTTTCGCTTGAGAAAATGTCTGCAGTAAAGCCATACGGGTCGCTTACATATCATATGAGAAGCACTTCTCACAAAACAGAGGCTTTATACACATAAATACTTGTGTATAAATGTTTATTACTAACTTTTCTATGAACAGGATTTGATTATAACTGCAGATCAATGATAGTGCGAAATAGCCTAATGTAACGTCTGCAATTATATAAAATAAATAATTGCAACATATATGAACACATACAGACCCTTACAGTCACCGATATGTTACCAACTACAGAAAAACTTCACACAACAGACATTTAGTCCTTCTTTAGGTTCAAAAACTACACAAAATATAACCTACAGTCTGTGAAAACCTCTCATCTGTGTCTGTAATCTTCTGTAGCACATGTAGCCTCTGTTAGAGAGTCATTCCATCATTCTGAGTTCTTATTAGTCGAAAAGGTGATGATAAATGCTAAACATGGCAGTTTGTTCTCGATTCCAAAATAATGTGCTCCTTTTTTCCAGGCTTCTCCTTAGTTTTTTCGCGCTTCACTCCCGCATTTGTCAGTTTCTAACAGGATCAGGTTTCAAAAGCATGTCAATAATCAAGCGCACGTTATTATCATCAGCTAAAGAAGTTTGTTATTTCAGATATAGACGCGCGGCAATCGCAAGCAAGAAATCGAAACTGTTGCGCTTCAGACTGGCTCGTAAAAACTATAAGTCACAGGGTAAACCTGCTCTTCTTTTATGGCATTGTGGCTGTTCATCAAGTCAACGACGGTAACACTTTACAATAAGGTTCATTAGTTAATGCATTTACTAACATGAACTAATCATGAACAACACATGTACAGCATTTATTAATCATAATTGAACATTTACTAATGCATTTTTAATATTCAAGTCTATGCTTGTTAACATAAGTTAATGCACCATGAGTTAACATGAAACCAACAATGAACAACTGTATTTTCATTAACTAACGTTTATTAAGATGAATAACTACTGTGGTAAATGTATTGTTCATTGTTTGTTCATGTTAGTAATTGCATTACTTAACATTAACTAATGAACCTTATTGTAAAGTGTGACCTCAACGACAACGTTTGTTTAAGCCCGGGTCGACCATGGCTCGTTATTATATGTAATTACGCTGTAAAAGATCTCTCGGCTGTGTATTTTAAACATGGCGGCTCTTTTGTTTTCATTCTTGCTTGTTAAGTAAGTGAATGACGTATCTCTGTAAAACAATATCGTTAAGCTGTGCGTCTAGCTCCGCCTTTTTGTACCCTTTTTTGTGTTTGGTACCCTTTTGAAAGGGTGCCAAAAAAGTGGTATGGGATGGTTCAGTTCGGTACGCTCTTTGACACTAAAAACAGCCATAAAAGCGTACCAAACCAAACCGTACCGTACCACTCAGTGGAAACGAGCCATTTTTAGGTTCTTTGTGTGTTAAATGCTTTATTAACTCAACTTCATCCAGTTTTGTGACTTAATCTGAGCACTTTGTATGCTTTATAAATCTCCAATAAATGACAAATAAAGGCTCAGTATCAAATGAAAAAAAAATCTTTGCAATCTTTTCTAAAAATTAAAGTTACTGTGAAGTTTAAACATTGCACAATAACAGAAGTATCAAAATATAACATAAAACTGGATATAACAACAATATAATAATTTAACAATATGATATTGTGAATATTGATACACCATTTTATTATTATTTAGCGAAGTTTAAACTGTACAGTAATTTTAATTTAGGTAAGACTGCAAAGATTTATTTTTCGTTTGATGCTGTTTCATTTGTATCTTCAAATTAAAAGAAATGAATAAAGTACTCACTTTATTCACAACAACTCTACGCAAGTAACGTCAACTTAATTTTTAGGGCAGCTTCCTCACTCACTTTTAATGTACAGTGATTTTGCTTTTTGCAGTACTTGCTTTTCAATGCATGTTTAAGGTATAATTTTAGCATGAACGCTGCCCAAACTGTAAAAGTGCAACAGTCTACTTTAGATAACACACTGAAAGGCTCTCTAATGCAGTTTTTCAGCCTCTGGTTTCCTGTCATTTTTAGCTGTTCTTTGCAAACCCTTTGTAAACCTCATCGTCCGTGATCTTTTTCAGCAAACCTATTATGGCTGACGTGGGAGAGTGATTAGTCATTATGTAAGGGCAGTTTTTTGCATGGCTGTGGTCACTGTTCTGACATGAAAAAATAAAAAATAAAATCGTTCCATGCCTCAAATACATCATTTAAACCTTCAAAGTTCTCTCAAATTATAGACGCATGAATAAAGATATTGTGCTCCTGTGTGTGTGAGGCAGGGTGAAAAAAAGCTCATGCGTAAAGTTTATGCCAGTTAAAGTGTTTTGAGTCAGTGACTAAGAAAACCAGATGCAACAACAGTTCAAGATGATATTCACTTTTTTTTTTTTTTAAATCAAATTCATTTTTAAAGCATCGCTTGCATCAAAATATATCCTGTGGTTCATTTAACCAAACCTCTAATGTCATTACGGTATTTGTATAATTCTACTTTGCTAAATTAGCATGTAAGTAATAAATTGAATTGTGGTTTTGTTTTGAAACCTAATTTGCTAAATTTGATTGGCAGGATTTCGTTCATCAGTGGTCGGTGGTGGAGATGGAAGTTCCAGAATACTCTTGCAGTTTTCCTGCTGCTGATCTGCCTTTCCACCTCAGGTAAAGGAGCTCTTCAGTTCGAAGTGTAAACTGTTATGATGCCAATAGCGTGTTATCTGAAAATCCATAATTATGTTCTGATCTGATATTATGTGTATGTTTGTCATCAACATTGCTTTCATTTCATCAGTGCTTCTTTTTTCACTCCTAATTTCTCATTTCATATTTTCAACTGCTTCAGTATTCTTCCTTTCATTTTATAAATGTAGTCAAGTTTTTCTTTCTCTCAGCATTCTTGTGTCTGCATTGTTGCATTTGTGTCATGCTTTTTCTCCACCATTAACATGCTTTTGTTGTCCTTGTCCTTGCATTCTGTTCACTTAGAAGTCACAACAGTTGAGCGTGAAAAATATCTCAAAGGCATAAAAAGAAACTGAAACAAATGCTTCAGTTCATTAATTAAGTAATGCTACAGTCCTGCCCTGACTCATTTGAAAAATGTGGCAGATTTTTGCAAACCGCTGTAGACACTGAAACAACAAACTTGTATTCCTTTTCATGAAAATACAATTGAGGAGGCAGATGATGCATTAATGAAGGCTCATTCTGTAGGATTCTTTCCAATGTTTTCAAGACACTTTTACTATTGTGTATGATTAGTAAGGTTATGCATTTTAATATTTTCACAAAATTTCTGTCCCTATACACTTCAGGTAAAAGTACACTCGGGTGATATACTTCCTTAAAGGCACTAGAACGTACCATTTGGTTTCTATTTTTCATACATTCATTCACCTTTGGCTTAGTCACCTTATTCATCAGGGATCGCCACAGCGGAATGCACCACCAACTTCACCAGCTTGTTTTACACAGCGGATGCCTTTCCAGCTGCAGCACAATACTGGGAACATCCATACACACTTATTCACACACACACTATGGCCAATATGGTTTATTCAATTCACCTTTACCACATGGACTTTGGGGGAAACCTGATCCCCCGGAGGAAACCCACGCCAACATGGTGAGAACATGCAAACTCCACAGAGAAATGCCAATTGACCCAGCCAGGGCTCAAACCAGTGACCGTCTTGCTGTGAGGCAACAGTGCTAACCACTGGGCCACTGCTACAGTTTAATGATAAAACCTGAATTTTATTATTTTGTAGTTCAGGTGCTAATTTCAGGTAGTAAAACGTAGTATTGACATACTAATATGTACAGGTTTAATGGAAAGAGTTAATACTGTGATTGATCTCAATTTAAACAAAGTGTATTAATTCTGTGTTTTGGCAAAGAAAACAAAGCATTGAATTGGCAACTGGAGAGATCTATTCTGCTAATCACAATCTACTATGTATGGTTTCAAATTTTAGTGTAATGAATTAGCCCTTAGTGTATCATTATTATGAAGCTAAGCTAGGCTACGTTGAGTTCACTTCAGTTGAGTTGAGTTCACTTGAGTTGAGTTGAGTTAACTTTAACTGAGTTCACTTGAGTTGAATTCACTTTAGTTGAGTTGAGTTAACTTTAGTTCACTTTTAGTTGAGTTCACTTTAGTTGTGTTGTTGAGTTGAGTTTACTTGAGAGAAGTTGTTAAGTTGAGTTCACTTGAGTTGAGTTAATTTTTGCTGTTCACTTGAGTTCACTCTAGTTTAGTGGAGTTGAGATCACTTTACTTGAGTTGAATTCACTTGCATTGAGTTCACTTGAGTTATTGAGATAAATTGAGTTCACTTTACTTATGTTGAAATCACTTGCGTTCACTTGAGTTGAGTTGAGTTCACTTTAGAGTTGAGTTGAGCTCACTTTAGTGCAGTTGAGTTTACATTACTTGGTTTGAGTTCACTTTAGTTGACTTTACTTGAGTTGAGTTGAGTTCCCTTTAGAGTTGAGTTGAGCTCACTTTAGAGCAGTTGAGTTTACATTACTTGGTTTAAGTTCACTTTAGTTGAGTTTACTTTAGTTTGGTTGAGTTTAGTTCAGTTGAGTTTACATTACTTGTTTTGAGTTCACTTTAGTTGAGTTGAGTTCACTTTAGTTGAGTTCACTTTAGTTCACTTTTAATTGAGTTGAGTTCACTTTAGTTGTGTTGAGTTCACTTAAGTTGATTTTAGTTTAATTGAGTTCACTTGAGTTGAGTCGTTGAGTTTACTTGAGTGGAGTTGTTAAGTTGAGTCCACTTTAGTTGAGTTCACTTGAGTTGAGTTGAGTTCACTTTTGTTGAATTGAGTTGAGTTCACTTTAGTTAAGTTCTCTTTATTTGAGTTCACTTGAGTTGAGTTGAGTTCACTTTTGTTGAATTGAGTTGAGTTGAGTTCACTTGAGTATAGTTAAGTTTAGTTCACTTAAGTTGAGTTGTTGAGTTCACTTGAGTTGCCTGAGTTTACTTGAGTTGAGTTCACTTTACTTGAGCTGAATTCAATTGCATTGAGTTCACTTGAGTTGTTGCGATGAATTGAGTTCACTTGAGTTGAGTTGAGTTCAATTTAGTTGAGTTCACTTGAGTTGAGTTGAGTTCCCTTTAGTTGAGTTTAGTTCACTTTAGTTATGTTGAGTTGAGTTAACTTGAGTTAAGTTGAGTTCACTTTAGTTTGGTTGAGTTTAGTTCAGTTGAGTTTACATTACTTGGTTTGAGTTCACTTTAGCTGAGTTTACTTTAGTTGAGTTTATTTTAGTTCACTTTTAGTTGAGTTGAGTTCACTTTAGTTGTGTTGAGTTCACTTTAGTTAATTCCACTTGTGTTGAGTTGAATTCAGTTAAGTTGTTGAGTTTACTTGAGAGGAGTTGTTGAGTTCCCTTTAGTTTAGTTCACTTGAGTTGAGTTGAGTTCCCTTTAGTTGAGTTGAGTTCACTTTAGTTGAATTAAGTTGAGTTTACTTTAGTTAAGTTCACTTTGAGTTCACTTTAGTTGAGTTTACTTGAGTTCACTTTAGTTGAATTCACTTGTGTTGAGTTTAGGTCACTTCTGTTGAGTTTAGTTCAATTGAGTTGAGTTGTTGAGTTGAGTTCACTTGAGTATAGTTAAGTTTAGTTCACTTGAATTCAGTTGTTGAGTTGATATGTTGAGTTGAGTTGAGTTCACTTGAGTGAACTGAGTTCACTTGAGTTGAGTTCACTTTACTCGAGCTGAATTCACTTGTGTTGAGTTGAGTTCACTGGAGTTAATATGTTGAGTTGAGTTGTAAGGTTGAGTTGTTGAGTTGAGTTTACTTGAGTTGAGTTTAGTTGAGTTATTTCAGTTGAGTTAAGTTAAGTTAAGTTTAATTGAGGTAAGTTGAGTTCACTTGGGTTAGCCTAAGTTGAGTTCACTTGGGTTGGGCTAGGTTCAGGTTAGTTTAGTTTAGCCTAGCCTAATTTAGTTAAATCAGGTACTGATTACAACTTGGGTACAAATATATATCTTTAAGATACTAAAATGTAAATTCTTCTTCTAAAATATAGAGTTTAGGTGCCAATATATACAGTTTGCATAGTGATGTGTACATTGAATGTACCTGAATATGCAGTTGGGTACTAATACAGTTTAGGCACTAATATGTACAGTTTGTGTACTAACTCAAATGTAATTTTTTGCTGATAAAAACATTTTATATACTAATATGTACATTTTGATTACTATTATACACACTAAGAACTTAATCTAACGTACATTTGCATACAGCTTACGCAAAAAAATATATAGTATAGGTAGTGATGAGAACAGTTTAGGCAATAATATACAAAATTTGGCTACTAATGTTTACATTTAATCTATTACAATGTTTAATTAATAACCGTATGTCTACTAATTTGTAGTTTCAGCAAATGCATTTTTATCTCACATTTTTGTAAGCATAGGTATATATATATATATATTTGTAGATGTACATTGATTGATTTCTAAGCTTTCAAGAGTTGTGCATAAACCAGTGTTTTTAAACTCCAGTAACCTTTATCTGTTTCTGAGAAAACGATTCACACTTTACCGACCTGTTCTTTAGACATTTTGCTTTTAAACATCCACAAAGTCATATCCTTTTTGTCAAGTTGTCACCAAAGGCATGTATTTTTCATGAGCCTGGGTTGCCACAATCAGTTGTGTAGAAAGATCCTTCATGTTCTTTTACATATAAAAATGAAACCGAACCCCGAGGTGAGATTTGAGATATTGCCAACTCTCTCAGTGGTCCAACAGTGTGCATTGGCTGACTGAATGTTTACCGTGCCTGCTTCTGTTTGTAGGCCAGTCTTATTACACCCAACATTTGTAGTTTTTTTTTTTTTTTGTGAAACTTTGAATCTTTGTCAAAACAGAGACTGACTTAGTATTCAGGTGTGTTATCAATGATTTCAGCACCAGGGAAAATATGGATGTTCTCTAGACCTTAATAGCTCTTCTGTTGCTGAATTGAAGTTCCCTGTGAGCTGCATATGAAAAGCATGTGTCTTTTTAATATTAGTGGCATACCACAGCTCGCCTGATTTGTTCGTACCGTTATATTGGTCCAAGTAGGAACGTTTACAGTCTTTGGATGCCTGTCAGAAATGGTTTCGAGCAAAGATCAGATTTAATGCTGGGAATCGGCATCAGGGAATTTTTCTTAAGCGCTTTAATCGTTTAAACTGCAGACAACCAAGAGCTAATACTCTTTCGAAACAATAAAATTCTATTAATTTGAGCCGTGGCTAAAACAAATAGCGGAATAATGTTGTGTGGAAAGAGCCAAGAGTAATTTCGCACATCATTTTATAGGACGGTACGCCTCTGGAAGGCATTCCTAACCTCATTTAAATCACGCCTAAATCAGATGTTGCTCAAACTTGGAAAATTGGTGATGAAATAACTTGTTGATTAGATGTGATTTGTCACGTTCTGTAAACAGATTTTATATTCTGGGGCTCTTCTTTACTGTCCTCGTGCAAGAGCCTATCATTAAAACCAGATGTGAATATGGTCCGTCGAGGGAACACCCCTTTGTGCTTACATACACAGTATGCTTTGGTTGTTTGTGTTTGTATTAAAACAGCAAATGTACACACAGCTTGCATACCCATACTTTACTTTTAATTTCTCTGTC